ATTCTTTGTAAAAATATAATCGAACGTGTATATATATATATATATATATATATATAGGTTTGTGGAATTCGTCGATTGATTCCCCCTCTCTCTTCCTTTCTTTTCTTCGTTCAAGTATCAAAAGAGAATCGATGAAGCTTCCCCTTTCGAACGATTCGTTTCATCGCGGCAATACGATTTATCAATGGCACTCGCCAACCTACGAGGGTAGTTGGAAACACCGATGTAACGTTACACTTGTTACGTTTCCTAATGCGAACTGTTGGAAAGTATCGGACGAAAACTTGGTTAGTAACCTTCATAAGTCGAGTTTTCTCCCTTCCCTTACATTGCTTCCCTTATTTTTCGCTTTTCGAGATTTACGACGACCCTTCCCCATCCCCTCCCCAATCTGGAATCTCGAATTCTTCTTCGTGCAACCGAAAATGATCGTTCGCTTAAAAAAACGAGTAAACTGTCCGCGAAGAGTCATCCATCGAAATGATGGTATCGAACGCTCCACGTGTGTATATATATATATATATATAAATGTGTATCGATAAATCGAGAAATTGCAAATAACTTAACGAGAATGGTGGACGACCGATTTCGCCCAAGCGAATCCGCGCGAGCTTTCGATCTCGAACTTTCGATCTCGAGCTTTCGATCTCGAGCTTCCGATCTCGAGCTTCCGATCTCGAGCTTCCGATCTCGAGCTTCCGATCTCGAGCTTTCGATCTCGAGTTTTCGATCTCGAGCTTTCGATCGCCAATGCGCGAATTAACGCTCGCCCACCACGAAACCCCCTAAACTTCGATGCGCTCCAACTCGGAGGAGAGGATTGGGCGAGGTTACCCCATCGAATCTGGTATTAAATCGTGACTCGCCGCCCTTCGTGTTCTCGAATGTCAGCGAAATCGCAGGACGATTATTAAGCTGCCACGCTCGGGACGTTAACTCGGCCGAACGAGTGGAAAATGGAAACCGGGTTCACGGATCGCGCTAAATACCACTCGAGGATGCAATGCCGGCTCATCGTCGTCGTCATCGTCATGGGGAGATCGGTCTAAATGGCGCGCAAAACGGTTCTTCTCCCGTGGATTATAGGATGCAGGTCGGCCTGGAATTTATTGCGTTTCGATTAGAAGGGGGAGAGAGAGAGAGGAAGGGGGGAATAACGGCGGGTTCAGACCTCTTCGAGACGGTTTAAGACGCTTTCGAGCATGGTGGAGGAAAGGGGATAGGTTCGGGGATAGGTTCACGCTCGCTCGCGGGAGAAACGAGAAGTCTCAGTGGGTGCTTCAACTTCGAAGAGAGGAGGGACTTGAATGAGTTGTGCAGTCAGCGCGGTTTAGTTTACACATTGGTTTCTTTTTTCTTCTCCTCTCCTCGTTCCCTTTTCCCTCGTTCTGCGCTATTCGGAGCATAATGTTACTACCAGAAATTTTCTCTGTTAACGTGTAAAAACTTTCGATCCAATTTTGTTTCTTGCGCGCACCGATAACCGACGGTGTTGAAAGGTGTTGCCGATATTTGTGCAAAAAATAAAATTATTGCTAATTTGATCCGAAAATTAGTTCGACTGATCGTGTCCCCAGAGATCCAATGCTTAGATTCTTCGATGTAACTTTTTCATTGCCTTTGCAAAATTCTCAAGCTCGATTCGAAGCTCGTTTCACACGCTTTATACTTCCAACTGCTACTAATTTGCCTGTATTTCGCGAGAGGGAAGCGTGAATTCGATTGAAAATTTGGGACGAGCGATGGATAGAGCGGAGAAGAGTAGAAAGAAAGAGGAAGAAGAAAAAAATATTGGAACGGAGACACGCACTCGAAACGAGAACGTGGAAGAACGATAACGCGCGATAGCAACGTTAGAAAGGGGAAAATATCGTTTAGGTGGTTCTGTCGAAAACAGTTTGGACCGGCGTTGGCCGTTCGCCAATCGAAGCTCTCTCGCGCCGCGTGCAAACCAGGCCGAAAACGGCCAACGATCCCCGGATCGCGGAAGACGCGCGCGGACGGAAGCGGGGGAGGTGGTGTGGGGGGTGGATAAAATAAAACGAGGGTAGTTGCGACTCGGAGAAAATAGAAAGTTGCCATGGTAGCGCGTAAACATATAAATCTCGTTGACCGAGAGAAGGAACA